GTAAGACAAGACTTAGTGCTCATGTCTCAACCGTTAGAGGAAAATGGAGTATAAAATATCACCTTTCTAGACCTTTAATCATAATTTACGATAAAAAGAGAAAGTAACGGTACGAGATGATGTGCAATTGTCAAAGAAGAAAAGGTTTTCCTCAAAGAACAGCTCATGAAATGAAGAATGGTGAATTCTGTGATTTTCATTCAATAACATAAAAGCATACCTGCTGCTTCCAGGATTTCCTGCCATACTTTTCGATACAACGATTCTGTTTTTGTTGTCATCAGAATGAAAACTAGCAGAACCATCTGCTGATGTGAGGGAGCGATACTTCCATGAACAGATACTTTGCCTGTCCAAGACGTCGCAAGTTTTCATGAGTTCCAAAAATTAAAGCTCTTTCATTATTGTCACCGAAGTCAGTAATCAATAGACGGTCCCCATTATCATCCTTCTGGAATTTATCGGGTAGATTATGCCTAACGTCCATTATGCCTAACGTCCTTTATTCCCAACGTCCATTATGCCTATCGTACATTATGCCTATCGTACATTATGCCTAGCGTCCGTATGCCTAACGTCCGTATGCCTAACGACCGTATGCCTAACGTTATGTACCCGTTTCAAACATTCATTGGATTCTTCGATTTGAACAGGCACGATGTTTTATGAATCATCTTGTCCCTTAAATGGCGCACAGTAGGCCAGGCCGATTTGAAATATCAAAAAGACAAGAAAAATTATGGAGATTCCAGGATGCTTTTGAGAACTAGCTGTATTGGAGTTAGATTAGATAAGATTCGATTACATTAGATATCAAACGCTCAATCTATAATATAATAATTATATTGATTATGAATTTAATTGGTTGTTCGGCTAGTACGTATGCAGATTTCTTGTATATGGTTTTCTCAGTCTAGGGTAATCCAAAAAGTCAGTTATGCATTGTCCGATCGTTTATAGTGGCCTTTTTCAAGGTTAAACTTGCAAAATACTACAACTTATGGAGACTACTACTAACATTGATAAAACATGAACTACCGTTTGCCGTTAAATTGTGATTGTTACCACGATAAGCGTGTTTAGCTTGGAGCAACTTCCTTGTATGGTTCCTGAATTTTAAATGTTGTATAAAGGTACTATTTGGTGGTAAATTTTAATAGACTTCTTCCAACTTATAAAAAAAAACATTATCTAGATTAAAAAAAAAGAAAGTATTTAAGGAAACTCAATTTAATATGTTTAAGAATTTTTTGTGTAGTAATTTTTTTATATTTTCTTACTTGCGCATACAATTTTCTACAAAACATCGATTGAAAACCTTTTTGTAGGACTTATGATGTTTATTTTATTGTAGAAAATGTTGGAAATAAGTTTGGCCCTTTTCAAATGGTTTCCTCGATTTTTTTTTTAAATAAAATTAGTATACAAATTTTATTAAGTAGAAAATGTCTTTACAGATACTAAATTTCATTGAAATCTTAGAGGGTGCTGCCAGCCCCATAGTCGAAATGGCGTGAAATTCGTTTAATTTTAAAGAATAATAAGATATCAATAGCTTGTAGCTCAGTTGGTAAAGGCGCAGCTATAAAGTAAGACCATGCTGGGCTTGACGTTCAACTCGGTCTTGGTATTTTTTTTATGAAACGCTCTCGACTTCCCTGGGCCTAGAGCATGGTTGAAATAGCCACACACAAATTCAAAAGCTCGGCTTAGAAAAGGCAAATCAATTAATCAACTCAGTTGAATTCAACTGATTGGAATGTGAATTGAACATGTAATCCGGAATTCAACCATTTTGAATTACGCCTAATTTTTCTAGAGGGCGTTTTCGATATGTTTCAATAAGTCATAGCACGGAAACGGCTCATCTAATCAAAATGACGTCTAAAACAAAGTTGTACGAAACTGGTTTGCCTTTTCCGAAAAAAATACACGCTGAAAAAAATCAATAATATTTGTTAAAAAATTAAAACGACCCCTTGATCTGACGATAATACTGGGCTATTGAATCTTTCGTACATTTTGTCATCAATATTAATAAAAGTGCAAATCAAGAGGAATATTTCATGCCACATTCTATAATTACAAAATGATGAGCTATCCTATCCACATTCCATGCGATAACCAATTATTGGTTTAGCACAAACCCATTAAGCTATATCCTGTTCCTGTATCTGCAGTCTCTTCGGTCTCTTCCAGTTCGACTCTCTATTAATAGCTGCTAGCAAATTCCTTTTCAATCACAGAACTTTTCACTTCATTTCACTGCACCACTTTGGAATCATCATTCATTAGCTCTTACCACACTGCTGGCTGCCATCACCAGCCACCCGCGGAACCGACACAGCATGCAAAGATTCTTTCCTAGAAGCAGCAGCATCTTTCTTTCCATGGATCTATTTTAAATAATAAATTTCCACCTTAATGGAGTCGGTTTCTCCGTCAGCTCTGCTACTTCCGCATTGCCATGTTCGAAGATGATCGCTTCCCTCCCTAGTGCCTCACAGAAGCTCCATTTAGCGACTCACTCGCACATCTCTTGTCCTTGTCCCTGCAGCCCGGTCTGTTACATCCAAACCGTAACAGAATCGTTGCTCCGTTCACATTTGCTGCTCATCAGTAGCTACGGAAAGGAGCAAGGATATTCCTATTCCCGATTCCCCTTCACTGCACTTGGCTTGGCAAACCATTCGTCGAAGGGTAAATGCTGTTCCTAGCCACTGCTATTGCTACATGTTGGAATCACTGCATCCTTCTCCACCCACTCGAACCATTTTCCCGAGAACGAAAATAAGTTTCCTTTTCTCGATTTCTTAGGGAACCGGACAGCCAGCAGCGGGGAAGGGGAATTTTTAATTTTCACTTCACCAACCCGAGTCGCTTGCACAGGATCCAGGGAAATCACTGTTGAGAAGGCTTTTACATGTCCAAGAAAGTCGAGAAATATCCAGCCAACAAAAAATAGACCAAAGCGGGGGTCGAACCCGTCGTCTCTACTGGCTAATGTGATGTCTCTATAGCAGTGGTTCCCAACCTTTTCGTGCGATTATTGTAACGATGCTGCGTCTGTGATCATGCCAATCTCATATCTTCGTCAACGTTCAATCTGTTTCTTGCCATGGTTTCAATGAGGAGAAAAGTTGAAAATCCGCTCTCGTACTTACGTAGGAAGATGCAAATGGGGCAAGGATATTCAATGTCTGCTAGGAGACTTTGAAATACGACATGGCACGCCAGAACCACTGGTACAAATCTTTTTCAAGGAACAAAACACGAGATGCAGAATCATTTCTCAGGTCCAATTATTCATCCTGTGTTTCATCAAGGCTTCCACATTCATTGTTGTATCAGTTCAGAGAAACACAGCTCACATTGATAATCCAGTGAGTGAAAATGAGCAATAATTTCTGATTAAAGATCCAAATTTAGCTCGTTTGCTCTTTTGTCAGTCATACTTCAGAGTCTATGGAACATGGCAACATTTCCAATACTAACCTATCGGGACCAGTTTTGCTTGAATGCTTGAAGATCGTCTTGGAAGTGAATTAGATGGGTTTGCTAGTCCTCTGAGATGAACTAGCCATCGGCTAAAAAAGTTTGCTGGCCCCGTAGTTGAACAATTTTTGATTTCGTTCTTCATTTTTTTTACACACGTTTATTTGATGTTTAGACCATTAACAAATGACACATTTTACACGAGTAAACAGTTTAAAACAAATTCGAATGCTTCTACACATAGTTGGTTATTGGCGTCTAAAATGAAATTTACATAACTAATAAACAGCTTTAGAGCCTGATATCTTCTTCTTCTATCAATGTTTGTTAATTCTGGAAAACGAAGATTTGCAAAACTTATCCTCCTACCTAGGATTGTTTCCAACTTAGGTTGGAGATGATTCCAAAGAGCACTGGTGTGTTGGCAATTGGTAAACTAGATCCTCTACGATGTTAGGGCAATGTTGACACATAGGACTATCGATTCGGTTCTGTCGATGTAGTAGCGCGCCATGTGGAATCTTTCCATTTACTAACAGATAGTATGTAGATTTCTCTTTTGACGAAAGACCTTTAATTCTTATGTTGCTCCACCCTCTGGTCCATACGATGGCTGCATTCTCTTCCATGATTTTTGGTTTCTTCAGCTTCTCACGATTGACATTATGAAGGAATGTAGCAGAAGGATTTTCTCTATGTTGCCATGGAATATACAAGGTGGCCACCCATTCGAGAAAAGCGGGAAATGCGGGAAAAAGTCGGGAATGGAAATCCATCGGGAAAAATGCGGGAAAAAGTCGGGAAACGCATTATTTAGTCGGGAATTTTTTCCTTCCGTGAATACGTTTTCACTCGGTGTAGTTTTTTCAGTGTTTGAGGGGTACGCTACTGCGATGTGCGGTATAAGAGGTGAGGAGAAAGGAAACTAGTGGACTCTTTCGTTCTCGCGTCTTCTTACGCAGCAACAGACGTGACGTCACGTCTGCTGTTGCATAAGAACACCGTCAGAATGAAAGAGTCCACTAGTTTCCTTTCTCCTCACCTCTTATACCGCACATCGACGCTACTGCACTTTCCATATCGAATAAGTGCAAGCAAGAGGCAAATCGTGTGCTGAATAGAGAAAGACTATTAAACGTCAAAAAGCTCTACAAAATGAACATGTATGAGTACGTTTCTTCGTTTCGCTTTTTCGATCAGCACGGTCGAAGCTTCCAACAACGATTCCAACACTCACGTTCTATAGTATAGAGAGAAAGAGAAGACAATATTTTTGCTCTGATTTTTGCCGTGTTTACACGCATACATTCACAATAACCGCTTGTTCTCAGGGTGAGGATGAGATGGGAAAAATATCATTCTTAAGTTTTGCATCATCATCGATTCAGTTCGGGAATTAAGTTATCAATCAATTTCGCACCATGTCAAGTACTAGATCTACAAGTTATTCCTCTCGATATGAAGAACAGTTTTCGTGGAGTGCTGCTGATCCTAAGGATCCCGGCTCAGCTCGTTGCAAGTGGTGTAATCGGAGCTTCAAGATAAATTCCATGGGCAAAGTTGCCTTTTCCAGCCACGAAAAAGGGAAGAATCATCAACGCGAAATTCTAGTTCGCCGGACTAACCTGCAAATCAACAACATTTCCATCTCAAAAACACCTGTGAATAGAGGTAAGCAATACACTTCAATCAATTTTCATTTTTTAAGTTTAATGTAATCGCAATTGCTCTTAGGTCATCTAATTGATTCAACCGTTAACCCAACTAACCACGAAACTCCAACTATTGAAATTCCGTTTGTCGTTTCATCAAGTCTGGAACCGACCAAACAGGAACAAAACATTAGACCACAGCTCTTATCGTAGCTCCGGTGCCGATGTTTCCATTTTCAAAAAGATGTTTCCTGACAGCGAGATTGCAGCACGAATGGAAATGGGAAGGACGAAAACCGGCTATTTGATCACATACGGAACCGCTCCGTATTTCGCCAACGACCTCTTCAAAACATTGCAAGGTTGCAGTGAGTTCGTCGTTGGATTTGATGAAACTCTCAATAAAATTGTCCAGCGTCAGCAAATGGACATTGGAGTTCGATTCTGGAACCCAGCTACCAACCAAGAAGTGGAAGCAAGGTATATTGGCTCAGCATTTTTATCGTCCACACGCTCCAATGATCTGGTCAACAGTGTGAAATCCTGCTTTTATGAAAAACCTGAATTACTGAAAAATGTTATTCAATGCTCCATGGATGGCCCTGCTGTTAACTGGAAGATGTTCAAGGAATTGACTGGTGAAATTCAGGAGCTTCGATCCAATCCAGCGTTTGAGGTATTGAATATCGGTAGCTGCGGACTTCACACCGCGCACAATTCATTCAAAGAGGGGCTGAGGCAAACGGAGTGGCATTTGAATGACTTTTTACAGGCATTGTATAGTCTATTCAAAAATGTACCTTTGAGAAGAGCGGATTACACTGCTGTCACAGGTTCAAGTGTTTTTCCGCTGAAATTTTGTGACGTTCGTTGGGTGGAAAACGAACGAGTTGCTGGACGAGCTATTCAAATGTTACCACAACTGAAGAAGTTTGTCTGTGAGGTAAGGAAACAGGAGGAGAAAAACCTCAAACAAAGTCATCCGAACTTCAAAAGGAGTTTTCCATCGGTTTTTCGGTCGAAAGTGTTCACGATTGTAGCTAATGCTGTGGACGAAAAGCTGCTGGGGTCAAAGGTGAGTTTTCTCGTTACTTCAGCATCTATGGTTGAATCGTTTTTAAGAGAATACCAAAAAACTGAGGCACCGATGGTCCCTTTCCTTTTTAAAGACTTGACAGGGCTTGTGAGGGCTGCTATGGAAAAAAATCATTAAGCCTGAGCGACTGAAGGTTAAAGCTTAATCGCTTGTTGACATTGAGCTGACAGAAACCAATTTACTGCAGGCCGCAAATATTGAGATTGGATTCGCTACCAAATCCGCTATTAAAGCAGCGAAGGAGTCCGGTAAAGTTTCAGATAAAGATGTCCTAATATTTCGTAGTAACTGTCGGGATTTCTACTGTGGATTTTTGAAGAAACTGCTCAATCGATCTCCGTTGATTTACCCCACTACTCGTTACCTAACGTGCATGAATCCTGAAGTGATTTCTAACTTTCCGGACATCGCAAAGAAACGGTTGGAGTTATGTTTGGAAGCTTTCGTCGATAAACAACATTTGACCGGTGCTTGCGCAGATAAAGTGAATGATGAGTATGTTCAATTGTGTTCAATACTCTCAACTAAAACATTGTTATCTAGACACCGAAGAAAGGATCAAAGATTGGACAGTTTTTGGTTTGAGCTGATTGCCCAGTCTAAGAAGGAACTTCCAAATTTGACCATGTTTGCCAAGAAAGTACTCATTCTTTCACATGGTAATGCGACACTGGAGAGAGGATTTTCTATTAACGAAAAGTGCTTGGTAGTAAACCAAACCGAAGAAAGTCTCATGGCCCAGAGAATCGTGTATGATGCAATCACGAACGCTGGAGGAGTGAAGGATGTCGATATAACAAAAACACTTAAAGGGTGATACGGTCAAAATTTGGTCAATATCAACTTGACGTATTTCTTTCAATTTTGCATTTAAAAAACCTGAACACCCCTCATTTTGAAGGTGTGTGTGTGTAGAATGTTGCTCCTATTTTGATTTTGGAATTCACTCTTCAGTTGTCAAAATGCTGTCCAAGCAAGAAGAGCAGCGTATCAAAATTTTGCTCGCGCATCGCGAAAATCCGAGCTACTCGCACGCAAAGTTGGCAAAATCGCTAAAAGTTGCCAAATCAACCGTTACTAATGTAATTAAAGTGTTTGGGGAACGTTTGTCGACAGCCAGGAAGTCTGGATCGGGGGGAAATCGAAAACCGGAAGCCGCTGAGACGACAAAGAGAGTTGCCGGTAGTTTCAAGCGAAACCCTAACCTCTCTCTCCGAGATGCCGCAAATAAGCTGGGTGTATCGTCTACAACCGTGCATCGAGCCAAAAAACGAGCCGGACTATCGACTTACAAGAAGGTAGTGACTCCAAATCGCGATGATAAACAAAATACGACGGCCAAAGCGTGATCCCGTAGGCTGTACACGACGATGCTGACGAAGTTTGACTGCGTGGTAATGGACGACGAAACCTACGTCAAAGCCGACTACAAGCAGCTTCCGGGACAGGAGTTTTATACGGCAAAAGGAAGGGGAAAGGTAGCAGATGTTTTCAAGCACATGAAACTGTCAAAGTTCGCAAAGAAATATCTGGTTTGGCAAGCCATCTGTACCTGTGGCTTGAAAAGCAGCATTTTCATAGCTTCCGGGACTGTCAACCAAGAAATTTACGTGAAAGAGTGTTTGAATAAACGTCTGCTGCCTTTCCTGAAGAAACACGGTTGTTCCGTACTGTTTTGGCCGGATTTTGCATCTTGCCATTACGGTAAAAAGGCCATGGAGTGGTACGCCGCCAACAACGTGCAGGTGCACAGCAAAAAAATAATTTTGATATCACATCAAAGTGGATGCACTACAATCATGTCGAAAATTTCATGTAATTTTTATGACCACATAAATAAACAAATGCAGTAAAAGCAGCGTAATGTCAGTTCATGCATTGTATTAATGATAATTTTGTCCTTTTTAGCAAGTAATATTACACCATATTTTCGACATGATTTTAGTGCATCCACTTTGACGTGATATCAAAATTATTTTTTTGCTGTGTGGTTCCCAAGGACAAGAACCCTCCCAACACGCCAGAGCTCCGCCCAATTGAGAAATACTGGGCTATTGTCAAGCGGAACCTAAAGAAGACCAAAAAAAACTGCTAAGGGCGAGCAGCAGTTCCAGGCAAACTGGCTTTCTGCGGCGAAGAAGGTGGACAAGGTGGCTGTACAAAATCTGATGACAGGGGTCAAGCGTAAGGCCCGGCAATTCGGATTTGGAAAAGCGGAAGCCTAACTGAATATTTTTCCTGAATTTTATGCTAATTGAACTTGAAAAAGAAATTTAATTTGATTTTTTAAATAAACGATTTCACCGATTTACACGCGTTTTCCCTTGACCAAATTTTGACCGTATTACCCTTTATTCAGTACGCACGTAATGCACATTCGAAATACGTGGAGTCCCTGAAGGCGAAGAAAAATGAAGCAGACGAGAAAGAAAAAGAAGTTCAACGGAAGCGGGAGGCCGATCGAGCAGCGAAAGAGCTTGAGGCGAAGAAATTAAAGCTGTTAGCTGATGCTCAGAGAGATGCAGCGTTGATTGAGGAGCAAATTAAAATGCTGAAAAAGTGATTTGGTTTTAAACTGACACGATTAATTACTTACCATTAATAAAAAAAAATCAACATACGGCTAATTTGTATTTTTCTGTTCATGTATTCTCTTATATGGTTTCAATGATCAAAATTAATGAAAAAAAAACATTAAGATCCCAATTTTTCATTGTTTTATAATCACTGCAACTAATACCAATATATTTTGTTATATGACCGTTTCGTTTTTTTAGTACATGTACCTTATTACATACTTGCTCTTCCCACAATATGTCTCACTCAATAATGATGTTCCTCATCATTCAAAGCGTTCTAATATCTTTCTAAAGATCTCATACCAATTAAGTTGGGTTCTACAAGAATCTTCATTGAACTGTGATGTTCCATATCGTTCAAAAAGTTCTATGACCTCTCCGTACACGCACCTCCTCATCAATCAAAATAGGTGTCCTTAATGACAAAAGTATGCGATGATAATGATATTTTATCGTGCATCAGAACTCTGATCCAAACCGCTTCTTGTATCGAGTTTCAGTTTTCAGTAAAATAACATACGTAAAAAAACCAATAACATGACCGTCGTCGTCCAAGGACAGAGTTCAATGTGGTAGATCTTACACCAGTAATATTCCACGGATGGATGATGGTACCTGCGTGACAGGACAAGATCTCAACACTTGCATGGTAATTTGTAATTTACATATTCATTCATGACGATAACCTAGAAAGCCTTTGTCTTTGTGTACTTTGCCTTTGATTATTATCCCCATGTGTTTAACATGGTGTTATTTTCTAAAATAATTATGCCATAAAAAAAAATTATTGAAAAGGAGACATGCAGCATTCGTCAATTTTTAACCTATTATCGTCAGGGGTGAATAAAGTCTTAGAGCACCGTTCCAAAGCATAGTTATACAAAAAATTAGCACTCTAAGACTTCATTTGCTCCTTGACGTTAATAGGTTAAAAATTGATGAATCTGACAATTGGAGGCGAACCAGCCCAAGGCTGAAAGCCTCCCTAATAAAGATAAATTAATTAATTGAATCTGACATTTCCCTTATCATTTTATATTTTACTAGCTTAGTGTGCGCGGTCTTGCTCGGGATTCAATATTAGCTTGAGTTTATGCGCCGATTTAAAAAAAAAAAAGCATGCTATATTGTACGTAGCCCCCCCCCCCTCCATTATCTAAGGGGCTACCCTCTATGATTATCTCCTTATACCCCCACACACGCCCCCACATGCCTAATTTGGTTCCATTTGCTTGATTAGTTCTCGAGTTATGGAGAAATTTCTGTTTCATTTGTATGGGAGCCGGGGGGGGCCCTTACAGAAGGGGGAGGGTCTCGAACCATCATAAGAACCTTCCACGGCCCCAAAAACCCCTGTATACAAATTTTCACGCCAATCGGTTCAGTAGTTTCCGAGTCTATAAGGGTCAGACAGACAGACAGACAGACAGACAGACAGACAGAAATTCATTTTTATATATATAGAAGAAGAAGATTACCGGCGAATCGGGAATTCTGTGGAAATCATCGGGAAAAATGCGGGAATTTTATAATTGCGATTGAGTGGCCACCCTGAATATAGAGCAATATTTTGGAAAGGCTCTTCAGGCAGGGGTAAAGAGCTGGAATGGCAGCTAAATTTGGCGGGTTCTGCAATTGTTGGATAACCGAGCTTGCGAATGGCGTATGTATAATTTCTTTCAGGAATCTGTTGGTTAGAAGTGCTTTGTACTTATGCATAGGAAGATGTAGATTTAGTCCACCCATGTTCTTTGGCAACGTGAGCTGCTCAATGGTAACCTTGGTTGGATAGCGTTCCCAAATGAAGCTGCCGATGTATGAAGTCAAACGTGCGATTGCCTGGTTTGGGATACTGATCACCGATGCTAGGAACCAGAGCCTTGATGTAAGAAACGTGTTCACTACAATTACTTTCTGATGTAATGTTAGGTTTCTCGATTTAAACATCCACATTAGTCGAGATGTTTTCCTGATAACATCGCACCAGTTGAAGT